GAATTGAAAAAAAAACAAAAAATAAAAAAAAATCAGAAAAGTAAAGAAAAGAAAAAAGACCCTGGAGAGCCCTCCTTGGTTCCCTTTCCATTCTTCTTGTTAACGTCCGCATCGATCAATCCAGCAAATTAGAATTGAAAAGTAGCTGATGCAAAAAGTGAGCGATCCTCTGGGAGTCGCATATTATGACTGGCAGCCAGCAAACGGTGTAAAGTAAAACAAAGAAGCCAATGCTCTCACCTTTCTTCTCTTTTCCCCTCTTTCAATCTTTTTGTTTGATACTGCTAATCAGTCTTCCCCTGAACAAAAATGCACCCTCATTATGGTTGTACCGAACCAGAAAGACAGCTTGCATACATTCATAACCATGGTGTGTTGTGTTCCAAGGAAGACGGCAGACGGTTCATCTGACCTCCCTTTCACATGTGCATTTTGCGATCATAACACACGTGACCCGGCACTCATGTTCCTGCACACAAGTCCTTTTTTTTTTCTTTTTTTTTTTTTAATTTGGACCATTTCTCAATTTATGTGTGTCATCCTTGCGCAGGGGCCATTCGCTGATTACCCTTCTCTGTATCATTCCAATTTTAACGGATGTCCCGAAGGACTCCTGTTCACACAACTGATGTTCCTGCACACAACTCTTTTTTTTTTTTTTTTTTTTCTAATTTGGACCATTTCTTGATTTATGCGTGTCATCCTTGAAGCTACTATCATTCCAATTTTAACGGATGTCCCGAAGGACTCCTGTGCACACAACTCTGACATAATACACTTGCCAAACGCACAGGGAGAAGGATTGATGATGATCCTGACAAACGGACGATGACGATGATGATGTGGACGATGATGATGATGATGTTGACGATGATGATGATGATGATGATGATGATGACAATGATGATGATGACGATGACGATGATGATGATGATGATGATGATGATGGATGCAAAGAATGGCGCTGCAGGCCCCTGTCCCTACTCCTTGACAGTACCCAGAACAGCAAAGAACAAAAAAGCAACTGCCCTCCCCCCCCCCCCCCCCGCCACCTCCCCAAATAAGTTATAATCTGGATGGGCCATTTTCATGAGGATCCACAGACCTGTTGAGTGCCCTGACTGCTGCCTCCTGCGCCATCGCATAAGCGACTTGTGATGAAGACCCTGACTGCTGTCGACTGGGTGATTTCTCCATGGGCAGATCCAACTGAATTTTGTACAGGAACCACAGGCAAAGGGAAACAGCAGCAGAAAAGGGGGGTGCCAATCTTAAGCAACCAAATGCAACAAAAGAATACCCATTTCGACTCGCAGTTTGGTGCCCCTCAGAAATGGCCCACCTTTTCTCATCGCCTCACGTCACCATACTATACTGCGTTACAGAAAAAAAAACTCAAGTCACCGTCCAAAAGCTGAAGGCCAAATATTGACTTTGACATCCAGGAGAGTCAACACGTTCCAAAAGCCAACAAACCAAAAGGGAACATCCAAACGTTGAAGGTAAATTTTTATTTTTTTTTAAATTGACATCCAGAATGCCGGTGAAATCTTTTTCAACGACCAGCCTCCAACCTAGGCTACCAGCCGGGCCGCCCGGCTCCCGGGTGGCCAGCCCGTGCAAGGACCAAAGGTCCCAGCAAAAAAAAAAAAAAAAAATCAAACTCGAAAAAATCCGAAAAAAAACTATGTTATGCAGAAAAATAAACTGAACAACTTTTGCCTCAGGGTCATATCGAAATTATTTACCAAATTTAAAAAAGATAATAATAATAAAATATTTATTTTTACTTGATTATTTTCTTTTCTTTTTGGCCCGGCCGGGCAAGTGACCCCGGGCCACTCTGGTAGCCTAGCCCCCAACAGGAAAACAAAGGCACAAGTAACATCTCGATACTAGTCAATATCCAATCGCCAACAGCCGGAATGAAATCAAATGCCAGTTTGACTTTGACACTCCACGCGAGTCCACAGTCGATGCTACGCCTCCGGAAGAGAGAGGCGGTTAACGGAGGCCCTGATTTTCAGACGACTGGGTCCCCATTAACCACGTGTGGAGACCGGAAGTCGGAACAAGGCAATGCTGAAACCATTCTGTTGAATCTTTTCACCTTTTTTTCTGACATGCAAGCCTTGGCTCCATAGCTAGATGTCAGTATTGTTACTGTCCAAGTCCGGAAACCAAGAGATGAGAGCCGCGCTGCTGTCAGCTCAGGAAGCTGTTTGTCGGCTTCCCTTCGGGTGATTAGAGAGAAGAAGGTCACTGAATGAAGCTTGGCGGCTTTTGGGAGGGAAAAAATAAAAAAATGGAAAGAACTGAAGGTAGTGCTGGATCAGATCCGGATGCTAATATCCAGAGCTCACACAGAAAATGGAAGAGCATGTCCTCCAGGGCGCATAACAATATTGTCAGACAGACTTCTGACAAAGTTTAAGAAACAGCTATGATACGTGAAGTCACACCTTTCCCGCAGAAGCAGGCCATGCGGGACATCGCGAGCCAGGAGGAAAACAATATATAGCTGAATGATGACCAAGTGTCTACAGAGAGACTCCATGAGAAACAAAGAACCACTTACCAGTTCCTCGAGAGCATTCTGAACACTCTGAAACAGCCTCTGCGCTGCCTGGAGAAGACAAGGACCTCTAGGCGCAGCCGATAACACTTTGCCAATCGCACACAATACATCCCTCTCCTCTGCCAGCGAAAGAGGTAGTGTGTGCAAGCGCTGCTTGCCAAATACAGGCAGTCATTACAATGCAATCAAACCACACCACAAACAAAACTGCAAGGATCAGCAAAGCCAAACAAACTACACCTGCATAAACAGAAACTCAACTGCACCTGCATCTCTTCTCTTGAACGATCATCGTTTTTGCAAGCATATTGTGAGCCAGGTCCGCCTATTTTGATGTGCACCTGCAAGTATTTTTCAAAATTTAGTATGATGAATTATGCACATACTACGCCATATAGTTTGATGTGCTGCACCCTATTTTGATGGGCCATACAGTGTACTCTACTACGCAGTGCACTGCACATGCGTGCTAATATCACAGTACACTGCACATGCGTGCTAATAGTACAGTGCACTGCACTGCATGCTAATAGTACAGTGCACTGCACATGCGTGCTAATAGTACAGTGCACTGCACATGC